TGTTCTACTCTAAAATTTGTACATTTGACTTTTTTTCTGTTTCGCAAATAATCAGTTATTTCTGAAATTCTTTCATTCTATAAACAGAACACGTTTAAAAATGTTTCTCTTGTTATGTTTATTATCGGTTTTGTTTCTTTATTTGATGTGCGCAGCAGAGTTCAACGTACGCTTACGAACAATATGAAAAATGGCATGACATGCGCTGAAAACATCTAAATTTGAAATATATAATGTATACTACAGATGGCTAATTTACTTTTACTTTAAATAGCATATTTGGGCTAGCCAATTAGCTGTATTTAATACCAAAAGTTATTCTGCAAGGGTCCGGGTATCTGCAAGTCGAGCACTGCCCATCAACAGCTCATTTGTTTGACTTAAAAGTGTTTAATGTTGATAACTTAATCGTTTCGCAAGTGTGAACTTTGGTCAGCTTAATTAATTCGTTTATCTAGGCGCCAGATTCTATAAAGCATATAGCTATAGCTAAGGCTATAGGCGAATCCATTTATGAGCAAACTAATCAATGGGTAATTTTATGTAGACTTTGACCATGCTTCAAATGGTTTCTAACTTGTTCTTTGTTGTCCCAGTCTTCTATTCGCAGCATAAACAAAAGTTGTCGACGTGTTTGCTGTAAAATAAGAATTCATTCATCGGTCATTGGGCATCGGGCTTGACCTATGCCAATACTTTCGCTAACTACAAAAAAAAAAACAATGCGAATTTTACACGCATAACATGTTTTGTTGTCTCTTTCCTTTTGACATTAGGCTCTCTCGCTCGCTCGCTCGCTCGCTGCTTACGCAATGCGAATTTCGATTGTCTAAATTTAATTTCTGTGCTGTCTATATTTATATATAAACTCATACATACATACCGTCTACACTCACGCATTTAAATGAGCATATTTGTATCTGTATCTTTTGCTTTAAATGTATCTGTATCTGTACTCTAGTCTTTCTTTCTTTGTGCCTATTATCACATTTTGGCTGAAGACCAAGTCTCTGCAAGCCAAAACCAAAGAACTTGTTTTTTTGCTTCAATCATATTCAAATTTTTGTTTAATGAAGGCAAAATGAAAATAAAAATAAAAAACATTTAATTCTTATGTTTATTTTAACGTATTTCTCGCTTATCTTTTGCTTTATTTTTGAATGAAATTATTTACATTTGAAGACCATTTCTCAGTTGGTGAAGGCTAAACATATCTGTTCCAGTCTACTCTATATACGCATACCTCTATCTATCTATATTTGTTGCCTATTCATTGTCCCTATTGACTCATTACATAAATGCATCTTTTCTCTCTCTCATTTGTAGGTAAATGAAACATCGATTACAACTGCAGAACAGTGAGATCATCGTCTAAATGTTGCATATATCCGTTTGTCCCAAACCGTTGTTTACTTCTTATAGCTAACTACGTAGAGCATCCCGCATACGCATCACGCATCCGAGCATTGCCATCAAGAACGCAACTGTAACGCTTGGATTGGACACAAGGACGTATTCAATTGAGAAACTGACATCTAAAATTTCTCACCCGCCCGCTCATCGCTAACTGCGTTTCAGTGTGTCTGTGTGTGTGTGCGCGTGCGTGTGTGTGTGTTGGCGTGTGTGCAGGTGCAGTTGTGTGTGCGTGTATCGCTCCGTCTCTCAACAGCTTGACCTGCCACAGTAAAGCTTGGCAACATGTTCATCGAAGATGATGCGCAGTAAGTACCATTCCATTCCAACTTGATCTATCTATCTATCTCTCTGTACATATTTATGTTTTTTGTGCTACAAACTATCGCAAAGGTGTGGAAGAAAATGTCTGAAATTTGCTTGGTATAAGTAATTTATTTAAGTTATGCCTTTTTTCATTATGCTTTTTCTAATATTTATCAAAACTTTAAGGCCTTAAAGAACTGGAATATTTCAGACAAACATTAAATTTCATTTGAGATATATATGATATATGTGATGGAAAGGAGAATCGATAAATCGATTGATTAAAACAAGACTAGATCTGCAACAGTCTAGCATGACCTGACCAGATTGAGTTGGCTTTTATTTCTGATTTTGATCAATTTTATAGAGCCAGAAATTTAGAGTGGAAAATATTCCATTAATTTCGATTTCACATAAATTATAATATATCGATAAAATTTGCACAAATCAATGCCATTTTCTTATGATACTCTTAACACTTTTTTTTAAAAATAAATTTTAAATTTAGCACATTTTATTTTATAATAATATATATAATAACGATAAGCAGTATTTCGAGGAATTATAATTTGGAGACAGATAAAAGTATGGATAAGAAGTTTATTTTAAATGTATTAAAGAAGAGTTAATATATAAAAAGTAATATTTAATTTGAAATTACTGATAAGAGAGTGAGACATTAATATAATTTGGAAAGATAAAAAAAGTTAAAATAGTTTTATCTATAAGTAAAACCTTATTTCGTGCCTAAAATAAGTCCAATTGCCATAGAAATATGGCCCAGTTTCGCACTCAGTCTCTTCAGATACCTATTAATGAAAATTGTAGTTAATTTTGTTATCTAGCGGCTATAAATAATAATCGACTGTTTTATTGATATACTCGATTGAAATTAGTATGCAATTCGTTAGTCGAGTAAACACTTTGCTTCGATTGATTGCTGTCTACTCAATGGCTCATGAAACGAGTCAGAATCAGCAATGATTATTATAGGCATTCATCCGTCACTGTGATCTGCTGTTGTCCGACATAGATGCATTTCCTATGGCTACGCAATGTCGTAATCCACGAAGTGGTGCAGGCATTCAAGTTCAGGGACGTGACGTCGCCACGTTCTGCTTATCAAGTGGAACACGGCTTATCAAAAGGTTTTTAATATACATACATTAAGCACTGATTGCGAGCACAATAAAAGCGAACATTCGATTATTTGGCGTGTAGAGGAAATACACTCCGATATCGTGTCGTGCCCGAGACTATATCTATATTGCTGATAGCCATATCTTGATTTCTATGAATTATAACTTGATTCTGATGGAATTGTGAATATTAATAGTAGTTGTTTAGGTACGTAAGAAATATAACAAAATCACGCTACTTGAGACTTTAAACTTTAATTATTCGCTTACCGAATTGATAACGTATGGAACGTCAGTGCAAAGGTTGATAATTGAGTTCACATACAGCTGCTGATTAGCATGTTATTTTCACACACACACATATATATACTTGTATGAGCCCCTAGGCCACATTACTATCTACACTTCCAAACACACGCACACATATATATATATATATATATATATATATATATATATATATATATATATATATATGTACATATGTACATAGGTGCCGCTGATTGCCTACAGGTGGTTCGCTGGTCTGGAGATAGTGGCTTAAACTTAAAAAAAAAAAAACAGATATATAAATAACCTTCAGTTTGTTGAAATTTCAGGTGTTAGCTAGACGAATGGGTAATCAGATAAATAAATAACTTATTTTAATAGAAATATAAAGTAGTAGAATGTACTGGGCAAAGCTTTTAAATATGTTATGACAGCAGAAATAATATATATAAATATTTTTATTTATTTAAATATAAATAATTGGAATGATTGGAATAAAATGATATTTTAATAATATATTCATTTTATATTATTAAATAATTTATTATATAAATTTTATATAATTATATGATACAATACAATAATATGATATCATATAATATAATAATTTAATTTTACTAATTTTGCATTCAAGCCACGTTTTGATTTTTAATTTAATTAAAAATGAAATCATTTTCCTACCAATTAAAATAAATAAATCTGAGGAATTTGAGTCATCAACTTCAGTTTACTTTACACCGCTTGCGACAAATTAAGATTATCTATAATTATTTTAATTATATTTGTTTAAGTTCGAGAAGCAGAGAAATATGCAGTGTTAATTCCCATGCAAACTCTCAGCTCGTCATCCAATGAGCTTTGATATTTTCAAAGTTTTGATGCCTGATCTGCTCCTATCAAGAAAAGATTTCATTTGAAATTCCTTCTAGACCTATACCAACACGGTTCTAAGTAAATTATTGTAATAAATTTAAGTTTTCCACATTTTTGGCAGAGTCACTTGTTTCTATTTATAGTTGATTAGGCCATACCGAAAATAGCTTTGAGCAGCCTTAAGGGGGTAATCTGTGGCTGCTACAAATGAACTTAATCTTAAATTCATAGTAATAAATGGGGTAACATAATTGAGTTTTCGCATCATAAATCACTTAATTTAATAGTTTTTAATCTACAGTTGGGTTGACAAATGAGTATGACCCTAATATTTATGACGGAACTCAAGAACCTGAGAAGAAACGTTTATTAGGACTATGACATAGTTAGTAATTGTGTAAGGTATTGCAAGGTATATATATATAGAGAAATTTGTATTTGAGAGAGAGTACATAGAAGTACTTTTAAGAGTGAGAGGAGAAGATAGCAGCTTGGCCTTATATCTTGATAAGAGATAACATTTGTTGGAGATAGATAGAGAGAGAGAGAGGTCGAAAGAGGAGAAAGCGTAGCTTGTTCCATCAGTGGACTTAAGCCATCTTATTCCACTTTTACGTAGGCCTTACAGTTATATTCTAAGGGCTGTGCTGCAATATACGCTGACGTTAACTTGGTTGATCAGAACACTGCAGCTTATCAGCGTGTTATCGCTTAAGTAGCAGCAGCAGCAGCAGCAGCAACAATTGAGCGATTGGCAACCCTTTTTCAGTATTGGGGCCGGAAAGATTTGCCAACTGAAATCAGTTAGCTTTCAACTTGCGACGGCACTAGAACTACCAAGTGATTTACTCTAGCTGATAACGTAGTGTAAGCACATATATAAACACGCACACACAAATATATATATTTATATATATAGAGGTAGTTGATTTATATGCCTCGCAGCTGCATGTAATTGAATTTTTAACTAATTTCCATTTGGTTTTTTTTGTTTTCCCCCAGAATGGATAGCTTCTGGGTGCAGAGTGCACTGGGCGCCATCAAGGCGCTGGCGTTTGTCTATGATATAATCACGCTGCCGGTCTACTTGGTAATGCAGGCACCATGGAAACGTCGACAGGACTCAAGGCGTGTAAAGGTATGTCGAGTGCGAATGCGAATACGAATACTGCGTCTCTATTCCTAAGCCGACAGCCGGAAGGTTTATTTTATAGTGGTGCAAAACCTACTTAAGTTGGTTTTTTTTTTATTTGTTTCAGCTTTAAGTTACTCCATCGCATGCTTCTTTTTACCAATTAACTTTAAGTATTGCGTATGTGTTTGTATGTGCAGCCATTTGACTTCTACTTTTAGCTGTATTATTTAACAAATTGCACGTCCTCTCAGTATTTCAATTAGTTTGCTCATCATGCAAAGTAATTTTAGCCTTAGCTTATTAAATTGCATTGTTTTGTTTCTTTATGACTAAAACTAGCTGATTGATGATACGATTAGTATTAGTCTAGTAATAGTTGTATTTTCCATACTTGAAGCTAAAAGAAGAACAGCAATAAGTAGACTTACTATTGATTACTTTTGCTGGAACAAGTTGGGAATTGTAGGCAAGACAAGCATTGGTAACAGTAGAAAAAATAAATACAGAGCAAGGAACTGAGTTAGATCAGAGACAACAGTTTAAAGCAAAAGCAGTCATAAATGAAAGTAAGTTTCCTTTTCTATATATAAATATATATTCTTCCATGTTCCAAATACAATTTGTAGTTGCTAAAGCTATGCCAACTCATAATTTGCAATCTTAACACATATTCTCTTAATCAGTTTTTCTAAATTTTAAGACATTGTTTTCAAGAATTAGTTATCAACGTTGATTATACGTAAGATAGAATTTTAAATACTCGAAATGCGGTTTCCTCACTATTTGACAGTTTGTTGATAATGTTTGATAGCGCGACGGGGGTAATGTTCTTGACAATGTTTAGATTGGCATTAGCTACAAGCTGAATAAGCTTACATATATATTATTTTCTTTTATTATAAAATGTTTATTAATAAATTTCTAGTCCTCAAGAGTCATTCATTTTGTTAGTCATTTCATTAACTAAAATTTGTCATAAAAAATCGTGGCGCATTTGAATGAAGTTTTATGATGGTATTACCTTCTAAGTCCTTTTAATCTTATATATTTATATATATATATATATATATTTATGTGATTCATCGCATGCGAGTTTTCTGTGAACCAGTGACATAGTCAGCCTTTGATAACTTAAGTTATCGGCACTTTGAACACTGATAAGGGCACATGGAAGAAAATGATGCAGACTATAAATTTAATAGGCGTATTGAAATAAATCGATCGTAAAATGCACTGTTATTATGCCATATAGCTAATTGGTATTTTTAACCCTCCTTCCAACTCGCAGGCCACGCTCATAAACAAGAAATTATTGGTCGATGAGCCCTCCAAATACAGCGCGGATGACATTGAGGTTTAAATTTCCATAAGTGTTTTTCTATTAGATAAATGGGTTTCTTTGTAAGAACTAAAATTTTTGGTGTCTGTTAATCGATCCCCACGATCCCCACATAAAACATAAGTCCACGTCCATGTCCAACAACGCACAAACACGCTCAACACATCGGTCGTTGAAACATATATATATATAATATATACATATGTATATATATTAATATATATAATGGTATCCATACTAATTTCACTTGGGATTCAGTTTGTTGTAATGGGTATCCTCATACCTGCCAATCCAATCCAATTCAATCCAAATCAAACCAAACACACAAACACCACCTTTTGTCATACACATGCTTGGTATTCCCCTTTGGTTTGTTCTTGAAGGCAACTTTTCGACTTAAACTTTACTGTTCGCACTGTTTCTTACATCTATTTGTTCGTCCGTTGCAGGCCAAGATAATCAAGAATGACGAAACCGAGCTGACTTACCGCACCACGGAGCCGCCGCGCGAGGTGCATGTGAAAATGCTGCAGGAGAACATTGATACGCTGGAAAAGGTGTTCAACTATGTGGCCAAGACACACTCGACCAAACGCTGCCTGGGCACTCGTCAGATACTTAGCGAAGAAGACGAAACACAGCCAAACGGACGCGTCTTCAAAAAGTATAACATGGGCGACTACGAGTGGAAGAACTTCATCGAGGCGGAGCGTATGGCAGCGAGCTTTGGACGTGGACTGCGCGAACTTGGCCAGGCACCACGAGAAAATATTGTTATCTTTGCTGAGACTCGCGCCGAGTGGTTGATAGCAGCCCACGGATGCTTTAAGCAGGCCATGTCCATCGTTACCGTCTATGCTACGCTTGGCGATGATGGTGTGGCTCACTGTAAGTAGATTGGAAGCGGAAGTAATTGATAAATGTTAAATCTGTATACTAAACTTGTAGGCATAAGCGAAACTGAAGTTACAACTGTTATCACCTCGCACGATCTGTTACCAAAGTTTAAGACTCTGCTGGACAAATGCCCCAAGGTGAACACCATCATCTACATGGAGGATCAACTGCATAAGACCGAAACGACTGGATTTAAGAGTGGAGTCAAAATACTGCCGTTTGCTCAAGTTGTTAAAATCGGAAACGATAGCAAATTTGGTATGTATTGAGTGCGACGATAAATAAAGCTAAAGAAAAGCATAAATTAATTCGCTGCTTATTTACAGAGAACGTGCCACCGAAGGGCGAGGACACTGCCATCATTATGTACACTTCCGGCTCAACGGGCACCCCGAAAGGTGTTCTGCTGTCGCACAAGAATTGCATTGCCACAATGAAGGGCTTCTGCGACATGGTCACAATTTACCCGGAAGATGTTCTGATTGGCTTTTTGCCGCTGGCGCATGTGTTTGAGCTGGTGGCGGAGAGTGTTTGCCTGATGACTGGCATCTCAATTGGTTACTCAACACCGCTGACGCTTATCGACACAAGTAGCAAGATTAAGCGTGGCTGCAAGGGTGACGCTTCAGTGCTGAAGCCCACATGCATGACATCAGTGCCGTTGATACTGGATCGCATCTCTAAGGGCATCAACGACAAGGTCAATTCCGGCTCAGCATTCAGAAAGGCGCTATTTAAATTCCTCTACCAGTACAAAGTCAAATGGATACAGCGCGGATATCGGACGCCGTTAATTGACAAGTATAAGTTACACTGAGAATGAGTTTCTATTCATTTTGTAACATTTGTTCTCTGTTGCTTCGACAGATTGGTCTTTGAGAAGGTCGCCAAGCTGATGGGCGGCAAGGTGCGCATTATCATGTCTGGCGGTGCGCCGCTTTCGGCCGACACACACGAACAGATTAAGACTTGCCTGTGTGTTGATCTAATACAAGGCTATGGACTGACAGAGACCACATCTGGTGCTACAGTGATGGACGGTAAGTGAACTTACGAGTTTTAAATATGAAGTCTATTAAAGGTCTATTAAAATCCTTACAGCCCGAGACATGACCTACGGCCGCACTGGAGGACCCTTGACTGTTTGCGACATTCGGTTGGTTAACTGGGAAGAGGGCAATTACCGTGTTACCAACAAACCCTATCCACAGGGCGAAGTAGTGATTGGGGGCGATTGTGTGTCACAAGGTTACTACAAGCTGCCTGGAAAAACCAATGAGGACTTTTTTGAGGAAGACGGACGTCGTTGGTTCAAAACCGGCGACATTGGCGAAGTGCAAACCGATGGCGTACTTAAGATAATTGGTATGTGCCCAATTCATATACTTCCCGCTAAGATATTTGTTTAAATTTGATTTACTTGCTTGCAGATCGTAAGAAGGATTTGGTTAAGCTTCAGGCTGGTGAATATGTTTCCCTGGGCAAAGTCGAATCAGAGTTAAAGACATGTGGCATTATTGAGAACATTTGTGTCTATGGTGATCCAACAAAACAATTTACCGTCGCGCTGGTCGTGCCGAATCAGAAACATCTTGAAGAGTTGGCCGAACGGAATGGACTAAAGAACAAAACGTTCGAGGAGTTGTGCTCATCAAAAATCATGGAAAAGGCCATACTCAAGGAAATAAGCGAACATGCGCGGAAATGTAATGTCCAACTTATAATATTTGATTTTCTGATCAATTTAACGAGTATTTAACTTTTTTCAACTCTATAGGCAAATTGCAGAAATACGAGGTGCCTGCCGCTATTACATTGTGTAAGGAAGTTTGGTCGCCAGATATGGGTTTAGTGACGGCTGCTTTTAAACTGAAGCGCAAGGACATACAGGACAAATATCAGCACGACATCAATCGCATGTACGCTTCATGAAAGTCAATGTACTGAAGAACAGGAGCAGCAGTGAAGCTAATTGTGTACTAAATATAACAATTGTTTTAGTATAGCTCAAAAGAAAACATGCGTTATTAAAAACCAAACTAGCTTAAGTACTAAAAGATCTAAAAACCAAATAGGCACACATCAACAGCTTCGCCTGTAAAGAAAAAATTTGTATTAAGAAATTGGTTGATTTTATGTGCTATTCTTTGCTTTTCTATATTATAATATAAATAAAACTATGTATCGAGTTTTTAGACATATGTAGCTTGGTTTGGTTACCTTTGTTTTGTACCATGCTGTTGATGTTGATGATGATGATGATGATGATGATAATGATAATGATTACGAATGAATGACAATGAATAGTGAAACACAAATGATAAAACGGTTACAATTGATGTACAGTTTTTGGTTTTTAGTACACTTTTGTGGCAAGTGGAAAATTGAGTAAAAAAAAATTATACATTTTTTTTATATATACATAAAAGAAAATGAAAAAAACTAAGCTTAAGTGGTTGCCTAATAATTATGTACATATTTACATATACACACAATCGCGTATATATCAAAATCTAATCGTAGATTTGAGTATACATATAGAGCGTACTTCTTTAAATTTAGTTTAATAAATGGCAAATATTGAAGTAATGAATTGTAGCAAATATTAAAACACAAAACAACATGTTCTGAATTAAAATGCAAAATGCAAACACAAATTAATTAATACATATGTATTTCATTACTCTATGCTGGGAACACCATTACTAAGAACCCTCCATGTGCACAGAAAGGTAATAACAAATGATTGTAAATGTATTTGTTTTTCTAGGCATACCAAGTAAGAGCAACAATTGCAATTCAAATTCATAATCAGAATAAGAAAGACTTAGCGCTAAAGGAAAATTCAAATGAACCTTGAATTTGCCTAAACTTTGATTAAGTGCAAATAAGTTCGATTATAAATGTTAGTCATATTTTTAGTTACCCAAAAGACGAGACGTTGCGTTTCGAATACGATAAATTCTAGTGTACGAAGGTAACGCATATTTCAAATATCGCAATTCATTTTGTATGCTAAGTATTTACATACATATTTTAGATAGCATCCTTTATTTCCTAGTGTTATTAGAATGAGTTACATACAAAACGAAAGTCGTACATTAAGCAAATTACATCATTGTACATTTGGGTGTATAAATATTGAAATTGATTAATAAAAATATTTAAATCTATAAATATATTGATATTTTGTTTATGAAACTGATGATGCAGTATTGTTTAGCATATAAAATTAAGATATATGCGTATATTTATATATTTTTTATGTTCAGTGGAACTTAACAACTCAAGGCTTTGTGGCTGGCAGCCGTCAACGTGTCAGGATGGCCGAGTGGTCTAAGGCGCTGCGTTCAGGTCGCAGTCTACTCTGTAGGCGTGGGTTCGAATCCCACTTCTGACAAGCTAGTTTTTTTTTATTATATATTTTTTGGAAAGCAAACTTCTACGTTTTATATGATTAATTCAATATTTTCATTCCTATCTGAGAATATATATACCTATATATATATATATATATATATATATATATATATATATATATATATATATATATAGAAAAAGTATCACTAGTAATTTCGAATTTAATATTTTATGCTAAGATTCGTTAATTTTGATGCTGATTCTTTTCAAAATATATATTTAATATATTTATTATTACCTTTTTAGCAGAGAAACACGTTTGCTAGACTTGTACTTGGTACACAGCCAGCAGTTGCTGGCTGAGTTAAGATTGAGGTTTACGAGGTTTACCTATATTAAACATCTGATCAATGCGTAGTATTCTATGGCTATGGCTTGTTTTAAACCTATCTTAAGATCTAAAACATTGCCCTACATAATACATAATATTTACGAATTTTCAAAAGATGCTATGCGAAATAGTAGTAGTAGGTGTCATAGAAATAGGTGCTCCAGTAGTAGCAGTACCCATATAAGAGTCTTTAAAATAGTGGATCCAGTAGAGGTAGTAGTAGAATTAGTAGCTCTAGTCGTAGTAGTAGGAGAAATAGTAGTTCCAGTAGTAGTATCAGTAGAAGTAGTAGTAGCTATATAGTAGTAGTTGTAGTAGAAGCTGTGTAATAGTAGTAGCAATAGTTCGTTGTTGATATTAGTTTACTTAACTTTATTTCTTAAAGAAATGTTTTCAATTCAGAAACTAATCTCAAATATTTATTTTCTATGGCATTTATGTTATGTATGTTAGTGTGGTTCGATGCAGATTTAAATATAGTGGAAGGCAAGCAAATTGACAAGGTTTGAACTGAGTGATAATAAATATATATAATATGTATATAAGGCTCTATCTGAGATGTTTTCTGCTGCACAATTTAATATATAGTCATGTTTAGATATGCTTTGAATACCCTGTAAATGGACTTAAACATATTTTGCGAACTGACAATGCAATATTTTAATGCTATTATTATAAGAATGTTTTTAATCTCTCTCTCTCTCTTTGTCTCTCTTAATTTGCATTGTGTAAATACATTCGCATGAGGTTTCATTGGCTTTTGAGACTTGTTTTTATTGCGATTCATTCGATGTTTGTTCATGGCGCAGTGGAATGACACAATTTACACGCTCGACTGCAGTCGCCGTGTGCAGTATTTACTGTAGCACTCTGTGGATGTGGCTGTGACTACCTGTCCTGTACCGTGCTGCGCTGCGCTGCGCTGCTCTGCGTTTTTATGGCATTTAAAATTGTTAATGTTTTGCTTGAGCTTGAGCACCCAGCCGGCCATTTATAATGCCACCTGGCTGTGGCAGCTGCAGCAAAAAAAGAACGCTGCATACCTTTGGGCTCGCCTGAAGTCACCTGAAGTGCGGCTAGTGCCAAGTAGGTCCACTAACGTCCACTAATGCAACAAATAAATCATGAAAAATCTCCCTCAACTGGGCCAAAGGGCTAAATTCCAAACGAGAAAGGTTTTCTTCTGACTGGCTTGTTGGCAATGGATAAGCGATGATAATTGTAGCAGCAGAGAAAAGCTGTTGGCATCTCGGTGAGTGTGCTGAAGATATAGATAGAGATATCTATAGAAGATATATCGATAGATATAGTCATACAGCTATACTCAGATCTAAGCTGAGAAAGCCATGAAAGACACAGCTCTTCAAGCTTACTGACCTATGAAGACCCTTCTAGATAGGCAAAATCAAACCTTTCATTAGCAGAGCTCCTTCACTTTGTACTAAACATACTCAAACATGCCTGAAATTTCACAAACTTCAAAGCTATCTCCATATCAGCTAATTGGAGCAGTCGTGGCTGCAGCTGGGCTAATTAAATTTTCCTTTAACACCTGATATGTGCCCGGGTAATTAGCTTAACAGCCTACTGAGCGCATTGCGACGAGATACGAGTAGCTGGGGATGCTCTAAGCATTAAAAAAAAAAACTATTTATCAGGCTAATGCTCTAGTCAAAGACGCAAACATAGACAGCTTGAATACGCCTGACTGCACGACACTAATAAAATTAATAGACTATAAAAGTCACACACACACACACTCTACACACACCGTGGGTAGAGTTGGAGATGCACTGAAGTCTGAGAGTTTGAAATGAAATGTTAAGAATTTCCTGCTCATACGTAACGCTCAATGGATTTTGGATGACAGACACTCGCTTAGGGTTCGGCTGCCTGGCGGGGGTGGGAGTGTGGGCCAGACCAGCTTCATGGCTAAAAGCGTCAACATTTGGGTCCTGCAAAATGGTGGCATTAAATGGGATTGGGTCAACACACGCATTACTTTTCTGTTCTGCTGGCACCGGGCATGTGGCAGGATAAGAATTTTATGATGTGTACAAATACGTTCGCATAACTCATCTGCAATTGCAAGGCTACTATTTTATAGTATCTGTTTTTTTTTCTTCTTTTGACTATAAATGATTCGATGAGCGTAGCAAAAAGTGGAGAATCGAGCTGCATTGCCTACGCCAGCTACAGTGGCAGTCATAAATATAGGCTCGATCTAGATGTTCAAGGCGTAGAATAAAATGAATGTACGAGTTTTTTATTTATAATGGCAGCTGAATGCTATGCAGGTTTAACAGTTGAGGTTTATAAAAAATAAGAAGTAAAGTAATAAGAAGTAATACTTTGTAACACTTTGAGTGAGCTCTCTAAGTAGACGAACCTCAAAGACTTAACTGCTGTAGTGAAGCTTGCTTGCTTCACTAGAAGTTTCACAGTCAAATAGCATTTAATGTCTTCGTATTATTCATACACAATATATGCGTATATACATATAGATGTTATATATTTTTTTAATATAAGAAAATTCAAATAAATAGTTTATATACATTCTTTAACGTTGGATTTAGTTCCAATGAGTTCCAATAGTTCAGCGCTCGTTATATATATATATATATATATATAATATATATATATATATATATATATATATATATATATATATTATAAGCATAGCGCCTAATTTGATTTAATCACATATTCTACAAAGACAGCCATCGCATATAAATCATGTGCCCGGGTAGCTCAGTCGGTAGAGCATTGGACTTTTAATCCAAGGGTCCAGGGTTCAAGTCCCTGCTCGGGCGGCTGTTTTTTTTTTAATTTTTTTGTGAACATATTTTGTATTTTTAAATAACTTTTTTCATATAATACAATGCATGCATATTTATATTATTTTGTATATAAATATTATATATAAATATTTTTGGTATCTATAAATTTATAATCAATTTAAGTTTATTTATAAAGTTTTGTTCATAAAAATAGTAGTGCTACAGATTACAATAGAAAAGCGAATATTTTTTAATGATAACTAAGAGATTTGCACTTTTTGCTTAGAATAAATTGCAAATCAGAGACTTATGAAATAATCCCGTTACTTTTGGTGAGAATTAATTTGTTTTCGACGTTTTTAGAGTGATGCATTCAAGATTGGCCGTTCATAGAAATATTAACAATTAATAAAAATATTTGCTTATATTATAATATTAATATTCGTTTCAAATTGTTTCAAAATATTGTGTTTACCACAACATTTGATGCTGAGTCGCACTATTATTTTTATGAACAAAGCTGTATACATAAAATATTTAAGACAAATAAACAACAACTTAATCTGCTGAACATGCTTCAAGAATTTTTTTATTATATAAGCTTTATACTTATATATAAGTTTATTTATATTTATATATTTTATGTTGTGTCAAGCTTTCGATTCCTAAATGTGGCTTTTGCGACTCTTAATACTATTTATTTATAATATATATATATATATATTTATAGCTTCGCCTCATACAGCTCGATTGTAATTTATTAAAATATATTTGAAATCTTAATTAAAAATAATTTGAATAGAAATTTCTGGAAGGCAATTTGCAAGCAGTAAACAAAATGAAATTAGAAAAG